TATGATTCTATGATTCTATGAAGAGGCGGTCTGGTATCCGCAGATCCAGAAGATAAGGAGTAACACTCTTTAAAAATATAAAAACCTATCAATGCTTCTTATTTACCTTTAAATATTTTGCAAGTTTCTGGATCCCCCAGTATTCTGACGGCAAACTGGTGTTTCCTTCCTGATGACGTACAGGCTGCTCTTCATCCGGCTCCGTCTCTGAGGAACTTTCACTGATGTCTTCAGACCTGCTTGATGTTTTACTAAAAACAAATAAACAGCATCATCTATTTTCAACAGCTATAAACTAGTAGGAACAAGCACATTTTAAACAGGTATGACAACACTGTCTAATAAAAGAGTCAGAAGAATATAACTGATGTTTCCAGATACTAAGTATGGTGATAATCACTGTAGATACAGAAAATGAAAATTTAATAATTTAAGGAACAAAAACAAGTAACCCATACCATTTTGAAGATGGTTGTATTTTGACAGATTCAGAAGAAATGCCACCAGCTTTCTTTTTGATTTTCAAAGGCACAGTACTACTTCTCCCTCCTTCTTCAGTACCTTTTTTTGCGGTCTTGTCACTAAAATATTTGGGTTTATTTTAAAAAAAAATAATTATATATATATACACACCTACAACCAAAAAGCTATGGCTGGACAAACATTATGTCATTACATATAAGCTTATGAACCCACACAACAAAATTCATAAACCAGAAAGTGCACTGTGTCTTAAGTGACTAAATTTGCTTTAACAAAACACTGGAATACTAAAAAAATATTATGCTGACCTGTATGTGATACAAGAACAAAGAATGAGTATATGCAGACAGACCACAGGTCCATTTATCCTACGATACTATCATCTCCACCTATGACCCATAGCAGCTCTCTCAGTAGAAGAACAATGGAAGAACATGAAAATTATGTTTTCAGCAAACAGTGATTCGAGGAACTCCTGATCATCCTTGTATTAATAGCTTTGAATGGATTTTTCTTCCATGAATCTGTCTGCTTGCTTTTTGAACTCACATTAAAAAAATGGATTCTACTGTCCAGTGGCAAAGAATTTGAGGGATCAGCCGTATGTCGTATGAAGTCTCTCCCTCTGTTCTGAACTGGTCTCACTGGCTCATTTTCATCCGATGACCTTTATTCTTGCATTAGAATGGCCAGGGACTATCTTCCTTGGCCATTGTATCTAATACAAGTAGTAATTCCTTACTTAAGAGTCTCCAATCAGGATTTTTTATATCTGTCTTATTGTCCCTCATTGTCATCTTTCCAGGTAAAAGAGCTCTGGTCTGCCTAGTTCTTCCACACACTAAGCTGTTCCATAGCTTTGACCGCGCTAAATATAATAAATCTTGTTTTCTTGATATTCCAGGAAGACTCCCAGGCCTAGCTCGGCACAATCTCTGTGCTTCTTTTTCCCTAATTTATAGTGTAGTGAAAACAAAATGTTCCTTTAAGGCTGGGCTGGTCATACTATCACAGTTACAACAACAAAAGAGAACATTACTTATGATTCACCCAATGTCACTGCATCTAGATTCTAACAATGACTGTGGAAAAAGGTAAGCTCTTCTCTCTGGAAAACCAGCGTTTTTTAACTGATGACTTCTTGTCACATTCAAAACTTCTTGAAATGTTTCTTGAAATATGTCAAATTGGCAGACTTGTTAAGATATTCCTTTTTGTAGGATGGCAATTGATGCCTTTCCTTCAGATGCTCTTCCTCCTTGAAATGCTGGGGTCTGAACCCCGAGCCCCTGAATTAAGGTTGACATATGGGTGATTCCCACAGCCCTTCATACAGAGGAGGTGAGTTTGCCTTATAGCTTCCCCCCAGGGTGCGGCCGGCCCTGCAGGGAGACCCATAAGGGAAATGAGCCCCAGGGGTCCCGCATTGAGTTGACAAAGGTCAGGTGTCCCACTTGGGGATAAAAGCTGAGACCACTTGCAGGGAGTCAGGAGTGTCTGCTCTCTGGAGTGCACTCCCCAGAGCTTCCTGGTTCAGGGAAGACCTCCTGACTCTCCCTGGAGCTGGGCCCTGATCTGTTTAGAACTTTGTGAACACAGGTCGATCGGGTGAGAGTTGCCATGTGGGCAGCTTTCTCTTATGCATTTAACTTGCTGGTCTGGCTGTTTCCTATGCCAACTATGGGCAACCTCGGGTCTCTGTACCGCCTGTTGTGGGCTGAGCCACATCTTTTGTGGGATCGTTGGGGTTGGTGTCGCTTATGTACCAGCTGATTGATCTGTTTGTACCCCCAGCGATCATTCACGCAACGTTCTTCTTGTATACAATACAGTCTGTGTATTGGTTCATCCTCCTGCTGGTTGTGTCGTTCCTGTTAGGCCTGGTCATTGGCAAAACACTCCTCCATTAACACAAAATCGGGAAACTCGAAATCAAAACAGAGCTCTGATTTCAGAAGACAAATCCAACAATATACTCTATTTTGGGGCATCCAAACTTTGAGATAATTTCATTAGTGAAGACTATTGCTAAGCAGAGCTAGAAAAGTGGCTCATATATATGAATCATTAAAAATTGGTAGCATTAGTAAGAGTCATCCCGATTTTCCACCTTGGAACTCTTTTGCCTGCCTCAGAATGCATGGTTTACACTGTCTTGCTTTAAACGGAAACCTCTTTGGTAGTCTGACCTCTCAGAATCATAGAGTGGTTTGGGTTGGAAGAGACCTAAAGGTCATCTAGTTCCAATCCCCCTGCCATAGGCAGGACAAC